CCTCCATGCTCTCCTCCTCGCCTGCTGTGCCGCCTGTCTCGCCGCTTGCTAAGACGGGGGAGAAGGGAACGAGGCCGTCACAGATGCGCAAGAAGGTGTCGTTCAACTCGATGGTTACAGTGAGGACGTTCGTCTCCATGCATGACTTTGAGCCGGCTTGTGAGGCTACACCTGCTGCATGCTAGGATGGTGCTTTGGTACTGAAACATGGGGGGCAGATTCTGCTACGCGGATAAGGATAACGTGACGGGGACCTCAGATGGCATGGAATGGAATCCAGGGTGCACAGTTGAGGGGAATGGTGGTGCTTGATTGAGTGATCTAGTGATTTAGTTCATCTAATCAGTCATGATGACCACTTTCACTATGCTTATGGGTGAGCAGTTGTACTAAAAAAGAGTGGTTTTTTCTTCAGACGTCAACCCTGGCCCCTGGTCCCTGCTGCACTAGACTTTTAGACCTCTATTGCGTTTTGCCTTCTCTTGCTTTCCTTGTGTTACTACGTACTGCTACCACCGGTACAGTACCAATGCTGTTGGGACAGCCATGCTCAGAACGTCTCCGAGGGCCTGGTTGGAAACAGTGGCACCGTCAAGCACTTTCTCCTCACCATAGCGGATACATACCATACATATGCATTGCAAGAGTAGCTAATACTCTAAGATATTGTCATGCAGTGGGTGATGGCTTTATTGTGGTGGCATCTTTGGGGCGAACGACACCAGAGTCCACGAGGAACGGCACTTCTGCTGCCAGCCACGGCCCCAGACCCAAACACAGCGCATGGGCTATCCCAAACCGAGGACTGCGAGCCAGACACAGGGCAACGGTGGAGGATGGGTGAAAGGGGGGCAGTTGAGACGCGTGAAAAATCTTCTGCTGCCAGCCACGGCCCCAGGCCCAAACACAGCGCATGGGCTATCCCGAACAGAGGACTGCCAGCAAGACACGGGGCAACAGGCAGGTGGAGGAGGATGGGGGAACAGGGGACCTTTAAAACGTCTAAAATGTCTTCCGCTGCAAACCATGGCCCAAGGCCTAAACATGTGCATGCGCTATCTCAAACCGAGGATTGCCAGCAGAGGGGACAAACCTTGAAAGGGGAGGAGGGGAGTGGAGACACAACAAGGTTCACACCTTGAAGGGAATGGAGGGATAAGGACGAACTATATGAAATCAAACAGCAAAAAAGTTAGAATGGGCATAGGGTGAAGCGGAGGCTAGTGAACAGACCAATCTGTTCTTTGCCCACGATGCCGTGACATGCATTGTGTGACAAATCTGCCCACCCCGGTATTTGAGAAGCCTAAGAATCAACCATTGGACAAACTGACCTGTTCTTTGCCCACAGGCAGGCAGACTGACCTGTTCTTTGCCCAGAGAGGCTTGAAGTGTATCGTGAGACAAATCTTTCCTCCCCGGTACATCTGAAACACACGATAGAGAGATGGTTTGGAGTTAGGTTTTACAGTGAGCAAGAGTGATGGATGGAAGTGTGGGACAAGAGAGCGAGCCCAATACAGAGAGGCTAATTAATTGACCTGAAAGTCCTGTCATCGAGTCTAAAAAGAGTAAACCTTGCTTTCCCATTGAGATGGTACAAAATAGTTTTTTTTTTAGGCGCTTCATGAAGGGTGCCCTGCATGACATCCCCCAGGGATATATATTCCCAATGTTGCAATCCCAGCAGCGCTAGCTTCATAGCGAATTTCTGAGAGGGAGATTCACCCAACCACATGTCGCCCTGCACGCCTTGGCTGTCTTGCCATCCACTTCCGACAACCCTTAAGCACCCCCAAGGCCACACTCACAGTCACCATCCACCTCACATACCTCGGCAAATATATAAGCGCATAAAAACAACGCCTAAACACATGCACCTTACGTACGTTGCCTGTTAACATGCACCTCGCGCACCTTGCCTGTTAACATGCACCTCGCGCACCTTGCCTGTTAACACGCACCTCCTCACGCACCTTGGCTGTCTTGCCATCCAGTTCTGGCAGCTCTAGCTCTGGCGCGGTGGCAGGGTAGGTGACGGGGATGTCAAACTGCAGGTCGAACTCGTACTTGATCAGATTGTACACGTACCTGCACCGCACGGCACAGGGGGCACGGCACAGGGGGCACAGCACAGGGGGCACGGAAAGGCAGCAAACATTCTTTTGAGCTCAAGTGGCTGGCTGTCAGGACACGGGACTGGAATGAACTGAAGGTCAAACTGAAGGTTGAACTGCGGGCCGTACTAGATCAGGCTGCACACGAACCTGCAGGGCAAACAGGAAAAGAGAGTGAGGTTGTTTGACGCCTTGAAAGCCAAGCGGGGGGGTACGTGAGTGGGACGTTCAAGTGAAGGCTTGTGAGAATTCTCCAAGGCGACTCAGAACTGGTCGGATTCTTAGTGGATGGATCAGGTTGCTCACGTACCTGTGTATGAGCAGAGGGACGGAGGGTCGAAGGGACGGAGCGAGAGAGGAGCAGAGTGAGAGCGGCACTAAGGAATAGAGGAAGGGGAAGAAAGAGGGGCAGAGGGAGAGGAGGAGACAGGGACAGAGGGAGAGAAGGACAGAGAGAGAGGGAGAGAGGGAGAGAGGACAGAGGGAGAGAGGGAGAGAGGGACAGAGGGAGAAACTCGTACATCGTCCGGTTGTACACGTGCCTACCAGAGAAGAGAAGAGAAGAGAAGAGGAGACGCTCATTCGCCTCAAGAAAGCCCCACTCGATCCTGCCATCCCACCCACCAGCATTTGCCTTCACCTGCCCTGGTCCCCCCCAGCACTGACAATAGCTTTGCAACACTCCAAGCTAGTCTCGTCCACATGCTTTCAGCAATACAGCTCGGCTCAACTATCCACGCACCCACCCACCCACCCACCCAGCATTTTCCACTTGATGTCCTCGGCAATAGCAGTATCATCGCATGTGTCAACTCAATTCAGCTCCACCAACCCACCCACCCAACCACCATGCGCCCCACCCACCAGCATTTGCCCTTCCACTTGGTGCCCTCGGCATTGGCGGGTGCGAGCTGGAACCAGTCGTTGTCGCGCGCTTTGTTCATCTTCACGTACTCAATTAAAGCCTGTGAGGCGGGAGGAAGGGGGAAACGGTGCGGGGGGGTGGAGGGGACGCAGTCGGATGGGAGGAGGGAAGAGAGCTGTCATTGAGGTTACCGGGTTACTCATGCACGCCGCCTTGTTCATCGCCATGTGCCCAATCAGCGTTCGGGGGGGAAAACGGGTGCGGCTGGAGGGGGAAGTGGGTGGGGGGTTGGGGGGCCGGGTGAATTCGGGTGGATAGGAGGCTGCTCATCGTTCATCCTCACGTACTCGACTCGATGAGAGCATGGGAGGAGGGAAAGGTGTGGGGGGTTGGGGGAGGGGGAGCCAGGGTGGAGGGAAAGAAAACTGTGTATCGGTTACTCGTGTAACTCGTTGTTAGGTTGCTGTTAGGTTCTGACGCACCAACAATCCCAAACTCGTTCTGAGGCTCGTTCCGAGGCTCGCTTCAACGCACCTGAAACTCCTCCTTGAGTCGCTGCTTCCATTGATCATCTCGCGGGCCTGCTTTAACGGTCAGCAGCGGGATCTTTTGAACCGTCGATTTGGTCGTGTTATCCCAGCCGTCCATTGGAGTCGTCCGATCTAAAGATGGGGAATCGATACGCAAAAGCTGACGGCAGGAGAATAGAATATGTTTGTTCAGGGAAAAATACTTTCTGGTTATTATCACAGCGCAAATAAGACGGATCTTCTCATAAGCCGAACATCCGCTTAAAGATGACCGTGACGCACGCAAATAGCTGCTATTCTATCTGCTTCAGGGCCCTAGAAGGTGGTAATCTTCTGCGACTGTGCTCTCCTACGGTAGCCTCAGCCCAGTGTGAAATCTGATGCCCAACCTGCACGCGAAGCTGGGGGGAATTCTCATGGTTTCAACGAAATGTGCTCGGCCCGGCTGCGTAGTCACGAATTCACGTTACCGGTTCGTCGATGTCGCGACCCAGCGGCCCTGAGGGCGCGCTGTAACCGAACCACTTTTTGAAATATAATTCAAAGAAAGTTCGAGCATGCGTACTGTACACAACTGAAGTTACAGCACCTTGGCGGAGAAGATCGAGCACGTGCACGGAAGTTCCGGCTTCACGGGAAATCAGGTTGCAACGCGCCCTAAACTGCACATCTGGGCATCGAAGGCATCAGAACGGACATTGGGGGATCCCACAATTCCGAACGGCCATTTCGGCTTTCGAGATCTTGGAATGGCCTCACCGCCAAACCAACTGCGTGCTGCTCGTGACTATTCAGCCGCTGATGGCGCCGACGGGGGCGATCGTGACGCGCGCATCGCGGAGCTGGAGCGCGTGGCGCGCAGGCAGCGGAAGGAGCGGCAGCAGCTGCTGGCGCAGGCCGACGCGGCAGCGGAGCGACTGGCGGCGACTGAAGCGGCGATCGCGCGGCTGCGCGGCGGCGACACTCGTGAACAGCCTTCCGAGGAACCAGCTGCCGTGCTGGCAGATTCCGAGAAATTGCCTCGTCAGTCGGATGATGTAGAGAGTTCGGAGGGGGTGAAGGATCGGTGGCAGCGGGTGGGGCAGAGTGCGGAGGGGAGTGGAGACGCGCGCGAGCGGACTCTGCGCGGCAATAGTAGGGACCAGCGGTCGCGGGCTGATGCTGAATGGGAGAGTGATTATATGCAAGGGAAGAACAGGCGGGGCGAGAGCAGCGGGCAGATTGTGAGCGGGGATCAAGGTGATGCCGGCGCTGGTAAGGACTCTCGGGAGACTTTGGATGGAAGGTTTGATAGGGAGGTTCGGGAGAGAGGAGATGGATGGTTGGGTAGGGAGGTTTGGGATAGCAGGGAGAAAAGGTTTGGTAGGGGTGACGTGGGTGGGGACGACAGAGGGGGACGAGAGGGCGGTGGGAGTAGAGGGGGGGATGGGAACAGAGGTGAGTGGCATGGTGAGAAGGGACGAAGAGGAGAGGGGGTGGGAGTTGGGGATGCGAGGCACAGTGACGTCGGGGCAAGGGATGTGAGTGTCGGTTTGAGGGAGAAGAATGGACCAGCGGGTGTGCGGGAGCGGGGAGGGAATGGGCTTGCACGGGATAAGGAGGAGAACACGAGGCAGAAGGATGGGAGCGCAAGGGAGAAGGAGGGGAGCGCGAGGGAGGAGGAGGGGAGCGCGAGGGAGGAGGGGTGGGAGCGGAAGAGGAGGCGTGAGCAAGGCAGCGAGGAGGAGGGGCGGCGGAAGATGGGTGGTGGAGGAGGAGAGTCGGAGGAGCAGCGCGGGGTGGCACAGGGCAGAAAGGGGAGCGTGTCTCCCATTCCCCGCCACCATGCTGCTGCTGCTGCTGCTGCTGCTGCTGCTAGCAAGGCGGCAGGGAGCACGGAGAGGGGGAGCATGCGGGGCGATGAGGGCGGCGCGGGCAGGAAGAGCCCCTCGCCGCTTGCCAGGCGCCCCTTGGTGGCGTGTGGGGGGGGCAGGAGGGAGGACGACGTGGAGGGTGGCGGCAGAAAGAAGCGGGAATTGTCGGGTGGAGGTGCAGCGCGGCCGGCAGCAGGGATGTCATACGATGACTTTCTGCTGCAGGGGGGGTCGGCTGCACGCAACGGCGGGAAGGGGCTCTCTGGGAGGGAGCAGCGTGGAAAAGAAGAGAACAAAACAGGTCAATTCTGAATTCTTTTGCCTCTTTTGTCTCAAACGTCCGGTTGTGCTGTCCATGTTTCATCTCTGTCCGTGTTTCGTCTCTGTCCGTGTTTCGTCTCTGTCCGTGTTTCGTCTCTGTCCGTGTTTCATCTCTGTCCGTGTTTCATCTCTGTCCGTGTTTCGTCTTTGTCCGTGTTTCGTCTCTGTCCGTGTTTCATCTCTGTCCGTGTTTCGTCTCTGTCCGCGTTTCGTCTCTGTCCGCGTTTCGTCTCTGTCCGTGTTTCGTCTCTGTCCGTGTTTCATCTCTGTCCGTGTTTCATCTCTGTCCGTGTTTCGTCTTTGTCCGTGTTTCGTCTCTGTCCGTGTTTCATCTCTGTCCGTGTTTCGTCTCTGTCCGCGTTTCGTCTCTGTCCGTGTTTCGTCTCTGTCCGTGTTTCATCTCTGTCCCTGTCGCCCTGCCATCTCGCAAAGCTTGAAACCCTGTCCTCCTCATGTGTCCTCATGTGTCCTCATGTGTCCGCATGTGTCCCCCTCACAGTGCACTGGCCGGTGGGGCCTAGCCAATCAGAGGAGCTGGTGCAGCTGGTGCGGAGTGAGAGCAGTGAGCAGCGGGCAGCGCGGTGGTTACCACACCTGCTGCCGCCCACCTACATCCCCAGCAACCACCGCCGCCGCCTGCGCTCCATTGAATTCAACCCGGCCAACCCCGCACACTGTGCTGTCAGGTGGGCCCTCTGTTGCTGTCAGGTGGGCTCTCAGTTGCTGGCAGGTGCGCTCTCTGTTGCTATCAGGTGGGCCCTCTGTTGCTGTCGGCTGGGCTGACCAAATGTCAAATGCAATGTGCAAGTATTTTCTGGCGCAGTTGCAGTTTCAGGCGTGTTCATGAGGGTTCTGTCCATCCCATACAGCTGACTCCTGTGCAGAACACCTCCTCTTGTTGCTTGCGTGTCATTGTGCGTGTGTGTGTATGTCGTCTCGTATGTGTGTTTCTGCATGTGTGCATGTATGCATGTGTGAGGCGTGCTGCTGTGCACCCTACCAGCTCGCTGGACGGGACTGTCAGCTTCTGGGCCATCACCCCCTCTGGGTCAGTCTTTACTCAACTCGCCTTCACCACTCTGCCCTTTGTCAGACTAATCATATGCATGTTAGTTTCTATAGGCTAAAAAGGGTTGGTTCTTATAGACTATAGCACTTGTACATGTTCCTTGTACCAAAACCCTTACTAGTGCAATCTTCTCTCTCTATACCCTTCACTCTTCACGCCCGTGCTCTTGACTCGCGTTGACCATCTCATCCCCCCCGCCTTCCATCCCATCGTGCCCATCATGCCCATCGTGCCCCTCATGCTAATCATGCCCATCATGCCCATCATGCCCATCATGCCCATCATGCCCATCATGCCCCGTGTGCCCTTCCCCCAGGCGCAACATGAGTCGGCGCTTCACGTTGGACTGTGCGCCGAGCAAGCGCTGGCCGGAGGACATAGCGTGGCACCCCTCGGGCTCGCACCTGCTCGCCGCCTTTGAGGCCGACGGCAAGGCGTGCCAGGTGGCGGCTCTCAGGAATGCACCCAATGTGAGCATGACACCTGGCGGCTCTCAGGAATGCACCCAATGTGAGCATGACACCTGGCGGCTCCCAGGAATGCACCCAATGTGAGCATGACACCTGGCGGCTCTCAGGAATGCACCCAATGTGAGCTCAGCATCGCAGCCGGCACCTGTGCTCTGCGCGCCTCAGTTTCTCCCACAAGGGTCCACCAGCATTCACTTCCTGCCTCCACTGCCCACCTTCCTTCCACCACTTCCTTCCTGCCCCATCCCGTTCACTTGTTTTCCTCAAGCCCTGGTCTGCGCACTTGTTTCCTCGGTGCACGTCTTTTCTCTCCCCCCACCTCACCCCCGCAGGCCCCCTGTGTGCCGCTACCAGCACGGCCGCACCACAAGGGTGTGGTCAACAGCATCCGCTACCTGCCGTGGGAGGGGCCGCCCTACGTGTTCGCCACGGGCGGCAGTGACCACGGGGTCGTGCTGTGGCGCGAGGAGCACACTCAAGGGGGGGCAGCAGGGGACCTGCCCAAGCTGACGCCCAAGGTGAGGGAGTGGCGGTTGCGTGGGCTTGTGAAGGGTTGGGGTTTCTGCTGGTCGTGTTATGTGAGTGCCAGTCGTGGTATGTGAGTGAGTGGCACACTTGCAATGTGTGCGTGGCACACGACACAACACATGCTGATAAGGGAGTGAGGGGTTGAAGTGGGCGAAAGGAAGGAACCACAGCGGCACTCACTGTTGCTGCGGTCAGTCACAGGCACCTCATGCGCTACCTCCTCTGCCTCCCTCCCTTCTCACCATTCCTCCCCCCACAACACGTCCCTACCTCTCCATTAGTCTCCCCATCAACCCCTCCTCCGGCCCCATGTGTGCAGCTGCTGCACGGCACGCGGCACACGGCACACTGCGGGGGTGTACGCCACGGAGGGGCTGAGGGGGCGTACGGAGGGGCCACTGCCTGCTGCATTTCTCCCCGTCCCTTGTGTCAACCCCCCCCTCCCCAGCTGCTGCACGGCACGCGGCACACTGCGGGGGTCTATGCCACGGAGGGGCTGCGGGGGCGCAGCGTGGTGCTGTCGGTGGCGCACAGCTGGTGTTCTATTGAGTCGACTCATTAGTCACCTCATGAAACCCCCGCGCTCCCCCTGCCTGCCCTCGCAGCTGCTGCACGGCACGCGGCACACAGCAGGAGTGTACGCCACGGAGGGGCTGAGGGGTGGCACGGTGGTGCCACTGCCAGCTGCATTTCCCCCTATCCCATTTGCCACACCCCTCCCCCTCCCCCCAGCTGCTGCACGGCACGCGGCACACAGCGGGCGTGTACGCCACGGAGGGGCTGCGGGGGCGCAGCGTGGTGCTGTCGGTGGCGGCAGACAAGCGCGTCCTGGGGTGCGACGCGGAGAGGGGCGGCGCACAGCTGCTGTTCTCCGCCATGCTGGACTCGCGCCTCACTGACGTGCTCGCTAACCCCGTTGACTTCAACCTCTTCCTCGTTCAGTCTGGGTGGGTTCTGTCGGGATGGTTGCTGCTGGAGCACCCTCACGTGCACTCGTGCTTGCTCACGTGCACTCGTGCTTGCTCACGTGCACTCGTGCTTGCTCACGTGCACTCGTGCTTGCTCACGTGCACTCGTGCTTGCTTGGTGGACCTGTGATGCACTGTGGCATGCCTAGTAGGGTGATGGGGACAGCTGAGTGTTTCTGCTGCTTGAGATGCTTTGACTGACTTGCTGCTCGCTCTCTTTGTTTCATCCCGTTGTGCTGCGCCACGGATGGTGATGGCAGCACGCCATGTGAGCAGCTGAGGCTGTACGACTTCAGAGCGCCGCGCAAGCAGCAGCACATATTGGGGTGGGAGCAGTCGGCGTCCGACTCACAGTCCGCGCTCATCTCCTCCTGCTGGGCGCCCAGCGGCCTGCAGGTCAGTGTGAGGTGGGTTGAGCCAAGGTGCCCATCGTGGGCGGGCGGGAAGAGGTGCCTGCAGGTGAGCGTCTTTTGAGGCGCCTCAAAAGCAGTCGGCGTTCGACTCACAGTCCGCGCTCATCTCCTCCTGCTGGGCGCCCAGCGGGCTGCAGGTGAGCGTGGGATCAGCACCCCGAGTTGCACATCTTTGACGTGCGGTGGGCAGTTATCTCAAAACCAACATCAACATGTTTTGAGACGTTGCAGAACACTTCTTTTATCACGTTGCTGCCTGCAGATCAGCGTGGGGTCAGCAGATCCCAAGGTGCACATATGTGACGTGCGGTGGGGGGGCATGAAGCCGCTGCTCACAGTGGATGTTTTGAGATGTCTCAAAACACTACTTTCTTTTATGACGTGCGTGCCTGCAGATCAGCGTGGGGTCAGCAGATCCCAAGGTGCACATATTCGACGTGCGGTGGGGGGGAATGAAGCCACTGCTCACAGTGGATGCGCACGACAAGCGCGTCTTCAAGGCCGGTTGGCATCCCACCCAGCCCCTGATTGTTTCCATTGCCTCGGACCTCAATATTGGCCTCAACCCCATTCGCACGTGACCGGTTGGCTGTGTTGACTTGAGTCTTCTTCAGGAGCAATTTCGCTGTGAAGCTCATATCTGCAATTTGAACAGTGTTTGTCAAGTACACATAAATAAATTATGCTCAGTCAAGTCCAACAGTTTTTTTGGCCTGTGTGTACCACTGTTGTCCAGGCCCCACGATATCAGGGCAAAACATCCTGATTACCCTGATTTCAGGATGGTACTACCCCAGGCCCTCAGATATCAGCGTAAAACACGCTAAAACTCCGCAACGTACCTGATAGCACGCTAAAACACACTGATATCAGGTACTGAATGGCCTTGGTCCTGCTCTGCTTGTCACCGGCGTCATCGGCGTCCACGTAGCCGACCAGCTCCAGCGACTCAGGTCCACCGCCGAACTCCAGGGCGGTGTCACGCGTGTTGGCGAGGTAGGCGAGGCAGCGGTCGACCTCGCGCCAGTGCTGGTCGCTCCTCACCGTGAGGCCGCTCCCCAGCTTGCTGCAGGCGAAGGCGATGTCCGGCCTCGTCGTCGTCGCCGCGAACTGCAGCGAGCCGACCTTCTGCCGGTATTCCTCCTCCTGTCGCTCCTGTGCCTCCTCGTCGTCGAAGGTGAGCTCGGCGTAGGCGTCGACCGAGACCGGCGTCTTCGGAGTCCGTCCGCCCTGCTCCTCGTCGATGAAGCGCCTACGCAGCTTGTCGGCGTAGCCCTGCTGGTGCAGCCACAGCTTCCCCGCCGACCTGTCGCGCACGATCTCCAGCCCGAGGTACTTCTGCACCGGCGAGATCTCGCGCAGCTCAAAGGCGGCCTCCAGCAGCTCCTTCAGCTCCTTCAGCATCGCGGGGCTACTGCTGGCGGCAAGCAAGTCGTCGACGTAGACCAGCACCCAGCAAGTCGCTCCGTCGGCGCCGACCTTGAAGTAAAGGGCCTCGTCGACCTGGCTCTTCTTCCACCCAGCGTCGACCAGCACGTCGTTGAGCGCCAAGTACCACAGCAGCGGCGACTGCTTCAGCCCGTACAGGCTCTTCAGCAGCTTGCACACCCGGCCGGTTCCGTCGTTGAAGTAGTCCGGCTGCGACATGTACAACACCCGGTCGAGCTTGCTCTGCAGGAAGGCGTTCTTCATGTCGAGCTGCATCAGGTTCAGGTTGAGGACGGCGACGATGCTGAGGAAGATCCTCAGCGTGACGTAGCTGCCCACCGGCGCGAACGTCTCGTCGTAGTCGGCGCCGTACACCTGCGTGAAGCCCTTCACGACCAGCCTCGCCTTCTCCCGCTCGACGGTGTCGTCGATGTTGTACTTCGTCGTCAGCACCCACCGGTTCTTCATGACATTCACTCCCGGCGGGCGTTCGACCAGCTCCCACGTGCCCATGGCGAGGAGACTACGGATCTCTTCCTCCATGGCGGCCTTCACCGCCGGACCCTTCCAGCTCGCTAGCGCCTCCTTCACCGTCATCGTTGAGATGTCCCAGCGGTGCTCGGGGTCGGCCAGCATGTCGGGGTCGAGCTCCGGGAAGTCCTCATCCTCCTCGGCGTCATCGTACAGGAGGTCGTCGTCGTCCTCCACGTCGTACACCGTGGTGAAGGCAGCGGGAATGAAGAAGTCGGGCGGCCTTCGAAGTCGACCAGACTTCCGGGGTTCAGGCGGAACCCTCACCGCGTCATGGTCGGTGGACTGGTCGGCCACCTCCTGGTCGACCAGCTCCTCGTCGCCCAACTGCTCCCCTTCATCTTCACTGCCGTCCTCGTCGCCCTGCTGCACCTCGGTCGGCTTCCCGGTCGACTGCTCCCCTGTGGTCAGCTCCCCTGTCGATCGCCAGGTCGCCGACTGTTCCTGGGTCGACCTCGTTGCTGCCTGCTCCCCTGTCGGCTTCACCCAAGTCGGCTGCACCTCCTCGACCGGCTCCCCCCTTATCCAGGTCGACTGCACTCCCAGGTCGACCTGCTGCTTGTCGACCTGCTGCTCGTCGACTTGCTGCTCGTCCTGTCGGCCACCGGCGATGCCCTTGGTCGGCGCCACAGGCGACGTCCCACTGCTCCCCTCATCGCCGGAGGCCGACGACGGAGTCAGCCCACGAAGGTCGACGAGGGGAGGGGCAGGGGAGGGAAAGGAAGGGTGGACGACCTCGGCGTCGTCCACAGCAAGCTCACCGACCTCGGCGAGTAGAGGGAGCGTTGCCGTCGAGGTATGTAGAACACCACGTCCGACGTGGTGACCACCCGGTTGGCGGCAATGTCGAGGAGCTCCCATCCCTTGCTCGCCTCCGACACACCGAGGTGAAGGCCCCATTCGGCCTTTGGCCGCAGCTTCCCACCACGCTGCTGCTCGGGGACGAGGAACTGCGCCATGCAGCCCCACACGCGCGCCAGCGACAAGTCGGGCTTCGTCCCGGTCAGCAGCTGGTACGGCGTCGTCCCCGGCGTCGCCGATCGCTCCAGGCAGTTGCGGATCCAGACGGCCTGCCGCAGGGCGAGGTGCCACCAGTGGTGCTGCACGCCCATGTGCAGCAGCATCGTCCTCACCGACTCCACCACCGTCCGCATCTCCCGCTCCGCCATGCCGTTCTGCTGCGGGGTGTACGGGCAGGTTAGGTCGTGGACGATCCCCTTGCCGTCCACGAAGGCGGTGAAGGCCTTGCCGAGAAACTCCCCTCCTCGGTCAGAGCGTAGCTGATGTCCTCAGCGTAAAACTCCGCTGCCTGTCCCGGCAGCCCGGGCAGCCAGCCCACGCCCCTTCATTCACTCACCTTCACCATCTTCCTTTCCACCTTCACTCAGGAAAGAGTACCCCAGATCCTCCGCTGCCTGTCCGAGCAGCCCAGGCAGCCGCCCCACGCCCCTTCACTCACTCACCTTCGGCATCCTCCTTTCCAGATTCCGTCAAAAACGAATACCCCAGATCCTCCGCTGCCTGTCTCGGCAGCCCGGGCAGCCAGCCCACGCCCCTTCATTCACTCACCTTCACCGTCTTCCTTTCCACCTTCACTCAGGATCGAGTACCCCAGATCCTCCGCTGCCTGTCCCAGCAGCCCAGGCAGCCGCCCCACGCCCCGCACCAGCGCCGCCAGATCCTCTCGCAGAACCGCCAGCTGTCCCTCCAACACGTCAGCCTCGTGGTGACGTGCCACTAGTGCGTCTGCCAGCTCAGCACACGCCTGCTCCTGCCTCTCTAACCCTGGCACCTCCCCCAACACCCGCTCCATCTCCCTTTCCGCCCCCTCCAGTTTCCTCCTCCTCGCCTCCTCCCTCTCCTTCCTCCTCCTCTCCAACTCGCCTATCCTCTCCTTAGCTCGCTCCAGCCTACCCTCCAGCACCACTCTCAACTCCTCCACCTGCCTCTCCACCTCCGCGAATTGACCCTGAATCACTTCGACCCGGGCTTTAAGCCCTTGGGAATCCTCCTGAAGCTGCGCGCGGTGCCCAAACACCTGCGCCGCGTGGATCTCCAGAGCCTGCTGCGACCGCACCACATGCCGAAGCACGTTCTCAGCTTCGGCAACATCAGCCTCGCCAGCATGGGCCAAAGCAGTTTCAGCTGCACCTGCCTGCTGCTCGGCGCGCTCCAGCTCTGCAAGGAGGGTCTGAACGGATGCTAGCTGGGCGTCCAGGCGGGATTTGGCGTCTCGGGTGGAGGCCACGTGGTGGGCGATGGTGCTCACTTCGACCTCCACGAAGGACCGGCTCCAGCTGTTCACTAGGCTCTCTGGCACCTCCACATGCTCGCACTCTTCCTCCTCTTTTTGCTGCTCCTTTTGCTCCCCAACCTTCTCCGCTTGCTCCAGTTCGCGCTCGTCCTCTTGCTTCCATTGCCTTTTCTCCTGTTCTTCCTCTGCTTCCGTCAGTTTCTCCTCCTGTCTGACCTCCTCCTCGCCCTTGCTCCCCTCCAGCACCGCTACAGCCTCGTCCCTCTGTGTGACCTCGTGCGTCTCGGCCTGCTCGGCCTCGCCCTGAGTCACTTCTCGACCCACCCCAGCACCGCCCTTGCTCTCTCCGTCCGCCTGTTGGGGTTCACTCTCGGTTTCACTCTCGGTTTCACTCTCGGTTTCACCCTCGGGTTCATTCACAACGACCGCCTTCTCCTCTTCCGCTTTCTCTGTTTCCTCCTCAATCCCATCAGTGGCACCAGAACCGCCAGCCGCATCAGCAGCATCCGCAAACAATTTCGCCCCCGGCTTAATCACAACGACTCCAGACTCGCTGACATCAGCATCGGAACCATCAATAGAATCACCCTCGACTTGGCCACCATCAGCCTTGTCCCCGTTAACAGCGTCTTCTTTCACACTCTCATTAACCAGATCTGCGCCGTCCACAGATTCTTCCAGCAACGCATCCAATGGCGGTGCACTTCCCGTCATAGATTCTCCAGATTCCTCGTTATTGGAAGGAGCCGTCAGAGGTGCTTCTAACGAGTCTGCTGATCTTTCGCCAGTGGCGCCGACGGTGCTGGTGATATCGACGGTGCTGATGGTATCGACGGTGCTGGTGGTATCGACGGTGCTGGTGGTATCGATGGTGCTGGTGGTATCGACGGTGCTAGTGGTATCGATGGTGCATGCTGATGGTGTCAGTGGTGTCAGTGGCGCCGGTGGCGCCGATGGTGCCGATGGTGCTGATGGTGTCTGGACCTTGGGCAGTAGCGACGAGGGCGGGAAGGTCCTGCTCATCGTGTTTCTCTCCCGCCTCATCAACACTATTTTCGCTGTACAAGTATGAAGAGGCTGGCGGAACTGGCATCACCGGTGTTTCTGATAAGCTGAGCAGGGTAGTTTCGTCCCTGGAAGCCGCTGAATCTTGCAAAGGAGCTCTTGACGCGGGGAGATTCTCCTCAACTTCGAAAAAGGACTCCTCGTTAACGACTTCGCCAGATGGATCCTCGTTATTGGCGGTCTCGTCAAAGGACTTCTCGTCCATGGGGGACGGAAAATCGAGTCCATCAGCACTCCCTAACGGTGCGAACCCGGCAGAGGCCTGCAAGCGGAATAACCAGAATGATTAACAGCTTGAATAAACGGGAAACGGAAATAGTAGGGGGACGAGGAGAACGGAACAGTTAGAACAGGCCTAGCGGACCGTAACTAAATCACTTACCGTATTGGTATCCTCGACATCGTCCTCCTTGTCCGAAATTTCTCCGTCGGAAGACGAGGAATCCGAAAGCGCTTCGTCCATCAGGTACTGAATGTCCATCAGGTACTGAATGTTCTCCTGATTTTGTAGCTGTGATTTTCGTTTTCCCTGAAATTTCAGTATATTCTTTATGTTTGCACTGATTTTTCAGTTTGAAGTGTAGGACTACCCTGACGAATTTGTGTGTAGGTGTACCAGTAACACTGAAGCTTCAGTACAGTGTACCGAGTCACACTGATTCGGGCATAGCAAAATGTACTGGGTACGGGGATGGGGTGCGCGTACATGGGGCTTTAAGCCCAGAATCATTGCCACATACAACTGGATTTGTCACATACGGGCTTCGAACCCGTGACCTTTCCGGTTACAGGGACCTTAGACAGCTACGCTACTAGCCCTGCACAGTGAGGGCAACTTTTTTTGTTAAACTTATATATCAGTAAGCAATGAAATTTTATGCTGACAGAATCAGCATAAACTTGACCCCCATCGCTGATTTGATCACTAATTTGGGCAGGGCACGCTGATCCATCAGCATACCCTGAAACCAATCTGAGGGCCTGATGTACCCGTAATCTCCCGTATAGACTCTAGGGTCTTATGATAATCACCCCTAATTTGGCTGGGGGGTATAATTACATGGTGTATTTTTTAGAAGACCCGGGTCTGTTCATATTGACATTTATAAGAATGTAGTTTTGGAGCTCAAAGTAGGGATTTGGAAGTGCTCCGTCTTTAGCTCCTGCCAAATATACTCGAATTGGTCTCCACACGGGCCGAACCCACGTCATCACGAACCCTACCGTCATACCCCGGATATAAGCGCCACCCGCGGATAAGCGCCTGGCGCTTTTAATCGGCGCCCGGCGCTTATATCCGGTGCTCGATTATAAGCGCACCCCCCTGAAAAAACTTGTTTTATTATAAGCGCACGTAAACTTTAAAGGGTCACACGACCAGTCAAGAGAAGCAAAGCAAGCTCAGGGTGGATCACAACGTCACCACACTCTCTGAGCACAAGCAAAGGGCTACAAGGCCAGTTCACATGCAGAGGTATATATATATGCAACAACAATAGAGCAGTGATCACTACCTAGCAAGGGCAAGCATGCAGAATATATATATATATATATATATCACAGTACAACCAAAGACTACAGCAAGTGTGGAAACGTAGGCACAAGGCCTAACAGGGTACAAAAGCGCTGATGATCACCAGACGGAAGTGCCTTGGTGAATATATCAGCAGTGTTGGCCCGAGTGGCCACGTGACGAAGACGAAGCTGACCTCGCTGCTGCAACTCTCGAGCCAGGAAGTAACGCAGAGCGATGTGCTTCGTTCTGTGCTCCAGTCTGTGTTCCTCACACAAGGCAATGGACTGGAGGAGAACGAGGCCGCTCACCCAAGTCAGTCAGCAGGTAGGTGAGCCAGCGTAGCTCCTGTGCAGCCATGGCGGTGGCGTAGATCTCAGCCTCACAAATGGAGCTGAGAACAGAAGACGAGCGTGTAGACCGCCAAGAAACAGAGCCAGAGCCAAGGCTGAAGGTGTAACCCTGTAACGACCGCTGCGTAGTCTGGTCGTCAACCCAAGACGCGTCTGAGTGCCCAGTGAGCACCACCTCACTCCGTCCTCCAAGCACTAGCCCCATGCCTGATGTACTGCACAGGTAGCGCAGTACCCTCTTAGCAGCAGCCATGTGCTCAGGTCGGTGCCGACCAGGAGCCACGTAGCGAGCTCAGGACGCGAGGGTACGCGAGGTCAGGACGAGTGCAAGTCATCAGGTACATGAGGCAGCCAACTAACTCTGGGTAAGGACCACTCGGCTCTACGGACTCGTCCGAAGGTGGAGCTGAGAGCGAGTGACTTGTAGCCAGAGGAGTGTGCTGTGGGGAGGACCAGGAGAAGCCGAAGCGATGAAGGACCTGCTGCACCATGTGTGACTGAGTCAGTGTGATGGTGCGGCGTGCTCTGTCCTGGGTGATCTGCAAGCCAAGGTAACTACGCAGCTCACCCAGGTCAGTGCACGTGTGTCTCTTCTGCAGCTCCGAATTTCCCAGAGGGAGAGCCTCAGTGTCAGCAGTAGCAAAGACCAAGTCGTCGACGTACACGAGGATGTAGAACGGCGGCAGCGAAGTGTCGGTGCGCAGAAACAGCGACGGGTCAGAAGTCGAAGGAGAGAACCCAAGAGCCGCAAGTGTAGTCCTCAGTGTGTCGTGCCACTCACGAGGTGCCTGGCGGAGACCGTAGACTGGCCGTCGGAGGCTCCACTGGGTACCAGGAGGGAAAGACCCAGTGAAGCCAGGTGGGCGGCGCAGCCAGATCTCCTCGTGCAGGCTGCCCTGTAAGAAGGCTGTGCTGAAGTCTAGAGAGTGAAGCTCGTAGTCACGCTGAGCAGCAACGTGCAGCAGCACCCGAAGAGTGGTCATCTTCGGGGTGGGGGAGAAGGTCTAGAAGAAGTCAACTCCCTCTCGCTGACTGAAGCCTCTAGCAACGTAACGAGCCTTGAAGACAGGCGGAGAACCCGGCGGCCGCTTCACCCTGAAAATCCACATGCCGCCCCAGGAGGGGGAACCTCATCGATGTAAGTGCCTGTGGACTTCCAAGATGCCATCTCTGCGTCCATGGCTGTCTGCCACTGAGAGGAGTACTCACCCGCGATAGCCTCATCGTAAGAGCGCGGGGTCGGGATGTCTGGTGCATCCGGGTCTCCCTCAGGGGCAAGCAGCATGGCCACGAGATGAGGCGCAGCAGCCGCAAGACACTCAAGGTCCTCGTGCCTGTCCTCAAAGACGTCCGTGCTAAGAGCACACTCACCCCCGACGGACGGAGGATAGACAGACTCAGACTCAGCAACAAGACTGGCAGCGAAGTCTAGACGACAGGCAGCAGCAAAGTCAACAAGCTCAGCGACTAGGGCAGTCCCAGCGGCAGACTCAAACGACGGGTCAGTGACAACTGTGGCTAGCAGACGCGTGACAGTAGGGTGCTCAGCACGAAACCGGTCAGACTCAGGATCCGCGACGTCAGGCAAAGAGGACGCAGGGGGAGACGGAAGAGGAGTACGCTCCGGAGGGGAAGACCGACGCAGGGCTACAAGGGGTGTGCCGGGGACAGCCGGCTGACGCTGACGAGGAACTCTACGAACGGTACGACAAGGACGAACAGGCGAGACAGGACGCGATGCAGGCTCACGATGCTCAGCAAGACTACCTGTCTGCTCAGTGTAAGGAGAGGGAGCAGGCAGCGATGAGCCGCGCTGTAACGGAAGACCAGTAGACGACGGGAGAGTAACAACCTGACGAAGAGCAGAGTCAGGCAGCGGCAGAGACGACGGAGACGGCGGAGCGAAGAACAGTCGTGTCGGCGCAGCTGCACCAGCACCAGCAGCTCCAGCACCTCCAGTAGCTCCAGCGTCTCCAGCCGCTCCAGCACCTCCAGCAGCTCCAGAAGCTCCAGCCGCAGAACCGGTACCTCCAGCGCCAGCACCTCCAGACTCAGCGTCACCAGTAGCAGCACCCCCAGAACCGGCACCCCCAGTCCCAGGGTCTCCAGCCGCAGTGTCCCCAGCAGCAGCACCCGCAGGCTCAGCACCTCCAGCCCCAGTAGCACCAGTACCCCCAGTACGAGTACCTCCGAGACCAGCACCACTCCCAGCTCCAGTGACGTCAGCAGAAGTACCTCCAGCAGCAGAGCCCCCAGCTCCAGAAGCGCGACGCAGACGGCGACCGTACCAGTCGTGCAGCTGCTGTGAGGTGACAGGCACACGTGGACGAAGGCGGCCACTCCAAGGAGACCGCGCAACAGTAGACTCCGAACCCTCAGCGTCAGCACCTCGAACAGCTCCAGAACCTCTGGTGCCAGTAGCCTCAGTCGCTCCAGAACCTTCAGCTCCAGCGCCACCAGCACCAGGACCTCCAGCAGCACCAGAACCTCCAGCGCCCGCACCCTCAGCAGCAGCAGAGCCTCCAGGAAAAACAGCTCCAGGAGCAGAGTCACCAGCTCCAGCAGCGCGGCCCTGACGGTCAAGGTACCACTCAACCCGCTGCAGGGAGGAGAGGGGGAGTCGACGACGAGAGGGCAGCGGCGAGGCACCAGCGGAGCGACTACGGAGACGGCCACTCCAGGGAGACTGCTCACCAGACGCCTCAGTACCCCCAGGCGCAGCACCCCCAGACTCAGTACTGCCAAGCTCAGCACCCCCAGACCCCTCACACGCAGGCTCAGCA